CCGTCCCGGCTTTGTAGGGATGCGAGGTCAATGGTCAAACGACTACGGCATGCACGACTATGAGTACACCCCCCCCCCCCCCTCTCCCTCCCGTGCGTGCGCTATCCCTCTCTGGATGTCCGTCTTGTCTGTCTCAGTCTCTCACCAGTTGATCGCAGACGCCACGATGAAGTACACGTAGCAGGCGACCGGCGCGACCCACCCGAACATGCCGACGAGGTACCACGTGTAGAACGCCACAAGCCCCGGCGCCACCAGCGTCTCGTGCAAGACCGTGGCGAACGCCGCGACGAGCGCCTCCGCGTCCGCCGTAACACGCTGGTCCGGGTTATCGATGAGCGGGGACTCCCCGCCGGCGGCGACGCCGTTCCCGCCGCCCCTGGTGCAGCCCCCGTCGACCCTGCCCGGCGCGCCAACATTGCTGAGAGAGCCGGAGCGGGAGGAATGAGAGACAAAAGGCACCGATGCGTTGACGAAAACGGACAGGTGGGGGGGGCGGAGCCGCGCTAGTCGGATGATGGGAGGATGGTGGCAGGCTAGGCACTCTACGAAAACGCCCCGGATTGGAGTTTCTGACTTGTGCCTCGCGGTACGGAATGTACGACGAGACGGGTGTAAGAAAACCAGGGATATTTTTAAGTGAGTGGTAAGCGTTCCCCGCCTCCCCCCCCGAGCCCCGAACCGTTGTATGCTTTGCTATCCCGGATCCAGCTTAGAGATCGGACATGTTCATTCACGCGCGGCATGCCCCCGTGGAGGCAAAAAGAGCGGAAGGAAAAGCACGGCCGGCAGTCACACCGCTACGGACCAGGGGCGAAGGCCGCCGCCATCTATGTACGTCTTGAGAGGGAAAAAATGGTGATGTACTCGAAGAGGTACATGACAACAAGTTGCACAACTGAACGGGGTGCTGAAAGCAAGCAGCGCTCCATAACTGATCGCCAAGAACAATTAAAGCTCACCCGAAAGAAGCCCCGCCGCGCTTATCCCGACCCGCCTCTCCCGTGGAAAGCACGTACGGCATCTTCCCCCGAAGGTACCAGGAGTGGAGGAAAAGGACCAGCCGCTGCCGCCAGACCAACGCGCACGCTTCCTTAGCAAGATCTCTCCCTGCCTTCAGAGCGGCGACCACGGTGACGACTAGCAGAGACCGCCACAGGACCTGCCAGAGCGAGAGAAGGTAGGCGGGAACCGGCGCGGGGGGCGAGGTGAACGATAAGAGGGAAGGAGAGCGATTGGGGAGGTCATCTAGGAACGAAGAGCACAAAAACTACAGAGAGAGAGAGAGAGAGAGAGAGAGGGACGAATGAAAAAAGGACAGGGGGCGGGGTGCGCAGGGGTGAAAGGAACAGATGAAACCCATCGCGAGCACTACAGCATGGAACCGCGGCCCCAGTCAAAACAGCGTGTGTAGGCGCGCGCGATGGGCGCGCTCCTGGTAGGAATTGATGCATTTGCCACTACCGGGGACGACTTTCCCCGCAATGCGCCCCCATGTTGGGAGTGAGAAAAAAGCAGTAAGTGACACGGCGTTGTCGAAACAGCGGTGGCTCTCGAGGAGGCGGTAAAAAGGTGCGCAAGCTCGTTAAAACCCGGCCAAGTCGCAGCAACATGTCCTCCACCCGGAGACCGTCGTGAATTATTTTCTATTTTCCTCAGCACACGTCGTCACAGATGCCGTGACGACACTGCCCCCGAGCCCGACACCCACCGGTCGAAAGTCCGAAGGTGCTACAAGTAGACACAACGGTAGAACGAGTTTTGTGCTGAAAGTGCACTGCGGACGTTGCCCATTACGAGGCGGGACCAAAAGGGAAAGAAGCATATCCACCACAGTTGGGTAAATAACGCGCTTAACGCTTCCATGCCCTCTCACTGGGTGGTTCGAGTGGAAAATTCAGCAGCTCGATTGTCTGCACATGTGGAACACTATGTGGTGGAAGTCAGCCGATTTCTCTTTCCGACTTCTGCACAGTGACACACTCTCACGTATGTGAATGTGTAAGGAAGGTAGTCAGAGAGCTGCTCGATTTCTGCGCAACATATGGACACAAACATGGCGAGGCCAAAACACAGCAGTGGGAGACCACACACCAAAACGCCACTCAACAACGCGTGGCGGTGGGCTGATGACGGTGTTCTCTTCCAACTGCTGTGGCATCTGCCGGACGGTCCAAGACACTGAGACGACAAAACACCACATGTACATTGTTGGCTGCTGCTTATCCGTGGATTGTGAGGTTACAACGGGAAATAAATTGGGGAAACCCGAGAGAAACCGACAGCGTTCGGTGTTGGGGCGCGGGCGAGGAGACAGATTGCTGAGCCACTCAAGGGAAAGCGTGTTTGCGTACGTACACGGGGAGGACCAGGACGTGCACAACGAACCTACAGAACTAGGAAAAAAAATACTGTATGAGAAAAACTATCTACCCGTTCGAGACATAACCACAGTCGAACGGGGTGTGTTGGAGTCTTTGGAGTGAGTGGAGGGAAACCGGCTGGGTACTGGGCTTAGTTCGAGTCTATTTAAGCCTACACACACTGAAATGTTATCAGTGATGCATCAGTGTGATAGCAGAATTAAGGAATAATAAAAACACACACAGAAAGACTACCCATTCGAGATATACCCAAAGTCGAACGGGATGTGGTTGAGTCTTAGAATTGTTACAACGTCGCGATGTTACTCTCGAAAGGTCCACTATGACCGACCATGTCTCAGAAAACTCTCGAATTCTCCGCCTCTCGCCTCCACTCCCCTGTTTCCTCTTCCACCATTGAAAAAGCATTGCACTTGCCTGCACGAAAAGCTGGGCGTCCAAGGTGGATATGGCCAAGTAGAAGTCGCTGATGACGTTGAGGATACTCGCCGCGCAGACCTCGTACGCTGTGGCGGTGACGGTCAGGATGAGCGGAAACACCCATCGCCTCTCGACAAACAGGCCGCGCAGCAAGAACACCCTCACCAGCATGCCAAGGTCCGCAACGAAGGAGCTCGGGCTGCGTCGTTGGCCTGCGGCGCTTGCGGCAGCAGCAGTGGTTTCTCCACTGCGGCGAGGGTCGGTGCTTGCAGCAGCAGGAACAGCGTCGCAACCGGGTATTGCGGCAGCACCGCTGCTGTTCAACCATAACAGTCCCGTACGCCTCGTTGCCCCGTCGTCGAGTGCATCGGCCGCGGCGGGCAGCAGGAGGTTGTGGGTCTCGTCCTCCTCGTCCTCCCCCTCCTCCTCACTGCGTCCGAGGGATGAGGACAGGCGCCGCGGTGGTCGCTCGGCGCCCATCATGCTCTGCGCGTGCGGGTGGGATGCGCCTGCTGCGGTATCAGCTTCTGCTGCTGTGCCATGTGAACGTGCGTGGTCTGCGGCGCAATTATTGAGAAAAGGCCTCCGAACAAGCTGATTGGCTGGCTCCTGGGTTCCTTCCCTCCCACCAAAAAAAGGAAAGAGGCGAGAGGAGCAGCATCACCACATCACAACTTGCAAACTTGACGCTTGACACGTGTCTTGAGTCCTGAGAGACCCTGTGGGTGCATATCTGGTGCATATGTGTGTGCGATCGAGAGGGAGGGGTAGCGGCGGCCGCCACGGATGCAAGCAGTTCGGGAACCTTGGTATGGTCATCTTGGCGGCCTGTTCATCACGGGGTCGATAGCCGCGAAACAGCAGTTATTACAGTTGCTGGCCGGTGCGGATATCCAGGCATCGTCGTCGTATCCTTTGGCAGGTACTTTGCTGTAGCTGGTGTGCTCGTGTGCGCGTGTGCACTGAAGCACGGCAGTCATGCAGAATGCGATACCAGGTGTGTCTGGCTGGCTGCAAATAAAGATTTCCAGTCAGATGAGCCACAAGGTTCAAACATACCGCAGTCTGCGTACTGCATCATCAGCAGTGCAGTATCAGGTCTGCTTGGATAAGCTGTGCTATTAGTGTACCCCCTTTTGGGGCAGTTAGCTTGTGACAACGGAAGGCGTCCGCGTCAGTTGGACCAGTACGGACATTAGAAGGTACTGAGCGGAGACCGGAGCGGTTTTAATGTGAAGACAACACCAACAACAATTACAATTAGTCAAGCCGAGAGTAGACTATATGCGAGTGAGAATCTCTGTGACAAGCGCAAACATTGTTGTGTTGTGCGACTATTACTATTCCTCTGGCGGCACGACCAGCTTTACCTACAGCCTCTTTGGATTTTCGAATACGAAGAGCTTTCACGTCTGACCAAGCAAAAGGAAACTAGCGTAAGGATGCGAGAGAACGCACGGGGGTGCGATCGATTTTCAAAGCGTAATTTCTCCACAACCAGGAGGGTGCAAGCGCCAGCTGATACCTCTCAGGAAAGCTCTCGATGACATATTTCCAAAACCACCCTTCCTTTTCGACAGCAGTGGTACCCTCCTGGTTGTGGAGAAAACACGCTTTGAAAATCGATCGCACCCCCGTGCGTTCTCTCGCATCCTTACGGTGTGTACATCAGGCTCCCCAAGTCGCTCAACAGCTTCCTCGTCTAGTGAAGGTGATGCGAGCGCTTCTTCTTTTCGTGCTACCAGAGGCATGTGGCGGTTTCGAGGCAGGTTATGTCCGCCCCCGTCACGCGGAATATCACCTCTTTGGCCAACGCTACACAGCAGTCGCCATAGAGTTGGTTAGAGGGGGGCAGAATAGTCTAGGGGTTTTGACGCTGGCTCTTTTTCTTATTCTTTATTCCAACATAAAGAAAGAAAACAACCCTCCCGCCTGAGGAACCTGGTAATTAGTGCTAATATCAGTAGAGGACACCATCAAGAGGCGTCGTGTGTGCTGGCACATTCAGGTTTGCTACTGGAGCTGAAATATCGAAGGTCGCGGCAGCCTCTGAACACAGTCCGAAACTGCGGCGGAACCAAGCGGCATCCAACATTTGTCACAGGCGTCTCACCGCCACGGACCATTAGCCCCTGAACGGCGGGGTGTCAGCAGTAGCTGGTGGCATCAGCTACTGCTGTAAACCCGCAGTTCAGGAGATTGGGGTCAGTGGCGGGGAGCACAAGCAACAGAAGACACTGGGTGTCGGTCTAATTTGCGGAGATTTGCGGAGATTGTAGGCCGCTACTGCATTCGACCCTCGATATCACCACCACAGAAGTAGATTTGAGCGCGCCAACACGCACCCCCCGCTGCTATAGGATGTCCTCTAGTGACCTATGTACTATGCACCACGTTCCTGGCAACACAGAGCTTGTTTGAGCGCCTGCCGTTTTGGCTCTTTTGACTTGAATTTAGAATGGTGTGAATTTTTATGTTGATTTCAAAGGAGGCGTGTGGAGGTGGACGCGTGAAATGTATGTTTTGAGAAGCCTCTACTGCCGCCCTGCGCGAGAGTTAACGATTTCTGTTTTTGCGACTGGTCTGGTGTCTCTCGTGTGTCATTTCTGGTGCTCTTGCGTTTGTTTATAGAATTTGTCTACATCAAAGTTCGTGTTCTGCCATCCCTTAACGTGTTCAAACCAGCCTCTGGTCCTTCTCGGCAACGCGTACGTGGTGTGGTCATATATTACATACTGTAGACATGCAGATAGCATGGCGGCGAGGAATTGTCCAGCCCGCGCCGACAAGCCTCCACAGCATCGTAATGCTGCCGCCCTTCCTCCGCACCTCGTGCCGCACCTGCATTACGTATCTCCCTCGTTTTTCGCACACCACGGCTGCACGCGATCAACAGAGAGGTAACAATGCATCAGATCAGGCTCATCCTCCTCGCGTCATGAGACCGACAGAGAGGCAACAATGCTCGGATAAGGCTCATCCTCCTCGCGTCGCTATACCGCTTCCTCATCGAGTGGGGGTAGGCGAGTTCTTCTAAAGGGGGCATCAGAGCCTCCGATTACCACGCCATCACGCCGTCGGTCATCTGACTGACTGGCGAACGTAACGCCATCACTACAAGTTTTTACTGCTCGACAGCGCGTACGCTGTCGGAATAGCGACGCGACGTAGTTGAGCTTGATGAGGATGTTGCTCAGTGGGTCGATGCGCAGTCTCCGCGTTCGAAAATTGGAGGAGGTTGCAATTAAAGCAGGTGTGCCAAGAGGAGGGTAGGAGGGACGGCCATGCTGCGGAGGTGCATATGTCGGCGAGGTCATTTGTTTACTATCTGGTTCAGGCGTTCCGGACTGTTGTTGGTTTTCGGTTCTGTTTCCCGGGGCGTCGTTTTAGGCATCCCGAGAACTGTAGCTCGTTCCGTCTGACATGACCGACGTGTTGCTATATCTTGGTTTTAGTCCTGTTTTGTATTGTTGTTGCTCTTGTTATTATGTCATCCACAATGACAATGACATAATCATTCCAAAAGTCATGATGCCGCGATCGATGCGATAGCCCGTTAAACAGTTAATCTACTTCATTGAGCAGTAGGTGACACCAATGCTCTTCTCTCGTACACTCTCTCCTTGCTTGGATGCCGTTGTGTTGGTTATTCAGGGAGCCCGCTCCCTGCTTTCTTCAGGCCGAACCGGAGGTGAGAACTCGGTCACGCGTCGTTTGCCGTTGTTGTCGTAGCTGGATGCATCGCGACGAGCGAATCCTAATTCTCCGCCAATCATAGCAGCCAGCCGCCGGCCGGTGAGCTTGAAGTGCCTGTCTGCGTCACGCGCTGTGAAAAATGTGTTGCTTTTCATTCAAGACTTTTGTCGATCGTTTGCAACGTACAAAGCCCCGCAGGCAACAACACCTGGAGAGGTCAGACCCAGGACACCGTCGAACTTACCGCCGTGGCCGAAACCACTTTTCGAGTGGCTCTCAACAGAATCCTGCGAGGCCCCGAGGCCTCTAAGTTAGAGGGGAGAAACGTCGGCAGTCGGAGCCGTGGAAATGGGCAACGCCTTCGTCAAGTAGGCTAGGCACCACCTCGGTGTGTGCGTCAGTGATGGGCAATACCACACGTCAGTTTCTATCATTCTCCTTCGTCGCGGACTGATTCCGTCACTTGCGAGTCCTGCAGTTTGGCGGGAAAGCCGGCCGCTTCCCCGGAAGAAGCAGTTGACCGCGCTAGGCGCCATGAAACAGCTGCAGTAGTGTTACCGTTCCGGAATGGGAGGAGTAACTCTTGACACGAAAACGGAGTCCCCCGAGACATCCTCCGAGCGTGATTCTAAACTCGACAGTTGCTTCATCATGAGCATGGTTTGGGAAGGGAGGACAGATAGCTGACCGCACCTCTGGACTCCCACCCCAGACTATCGTCATGATGAAGCAAATGATGGGTTTAGAATCGCGCTCAGAGGATGTCTCGAGAGACTCCTGTTTGTTGTCAAGAGCTACTTCTCCCATTCCGCGACGGCATAGCAGTCGCTTGATGGTGTCTAGCGCTGTCAACTGTTTCATTCAGAGTAGTGACTGCAGGGCTTGGAAGTGACGGAATCAGTCCACGATGAAGGATGATGATAAAAATAGTGAAGTGTGGCACAGCTCATCGCTGGCGCGCAAACCCGACGTTGGCTCGTGGTTAATGGCGTCGTTGTTGTTATTGTCGCCATTGCTCCAGCTTCTCAGGTTGTTGTTGTTGTTGTCGTGTATTTTGCTGTTGTTGCCGTCGTTGATTTTGGTGTTTTTGCGCGTGTTAGCAGGTGAAGTACACCCCGGTCACGACGGAGAAGGCGGCGCAAGCGTTTCACCGTTCGTTCGCGCTTGCAGCCATCCGTGCTGAAAAGGGTTATTTTTGCGCGCAGTCAGCACAATCTATGGTTACGCTTCCCAAAACGAGAGAGAAGATGCTTCTTCGTCGCGAGGAGTTGATACCACCGTTGTTCCCTCCCCTCGACCAGCCTGTCGTTGTTTCGGTCTTACAGGGGTCTCGAGTTTCGACCTTCCAGCAAAGAACCCCCGGACGAAGAATGTACAATGTTTTTTTGAAGATTCTACGCTGCTGTTCCGCGTTTGTATCAAGTTGATGGACTCAACGAGAGGTGACAACGCGTTAGGCAAGAGGATCAGCTGGAGCACCACGTCGTTGTGTGCCTGCGAGTCTCGGGGCATTGGCCTCTTCCTCGGTGAAATAGATAGGCCAGCGATTGCAAACTTCGCAGTTATAACATGTATTATTTCCTGGCAGTGGGTGGTTCGAAGAGAGCCCACATTGCTCTCACAAAAGCCCTTGGTCGTGATTGTTTAATTACTCAATAGCCAACACCTAAGGATTGAAAACACTTCAGATAAGGACAATGTTGCTGTGTGAAACGTTTGCGTACTAATGCTGTCGGGATCGGCCTGGTCGTTTGTCCGATCGGACAACTTAGTGTGTGATGGCGAAG